CTGTGTGAGAAGGATCAGTGAAATTAGGAATGTTTCCAACTCACTTCTACCTTTCTTTCAAAATGTAAATGTTTGAATCCCCACCTTCTTAGGGTCTTATTCTGCTTTCAAAGATAATATTTGGTTGCTATATCTGTACTGCTGTATAAATTAGAGTTAATAAAGAGGACAATTCTGCTGGAACAGGTATGAACTTCTAACAGTAATCTTTTTCCTTTTTGTTCTTCGGTCTAAAGGTATAACTCTTTTCCTGGATTTCAGTTTTCTTCAAAAGGAATTGGATTAAAATCTTATTCCACTCTCATATTACATGTTTCTCTGATTGCTAATTATAGAGGATTCGTATTGATTTCTTGTACAAGGAATAACTCATGGTTTTATCCACTGGGAGAGGAGATGAGATTTGTACGTACTGGTGTTAGCTGCAATCAGCAAACCTCTTTGTACTTCGCATTTCTCCTTCATATAGAAATGGCTTTTAGAGACGCCCACTCTGGTATGAGAAAAAGGCATCTCCCATAAAGGGAGCTTTAGCCGTATGCCTGAACAGGAATTTGGTTTGTAGATGAAGAGATTTATTTTTGGCAAACAAATTGGCTCTAATACTTTATTAGCTCTAGGACTTTGGACAAATTACTAAAGCTTTCTGATTCTCAGTTTGTTCTTATGTAAAACAGGAATGACAGCAGCTATTTTAAAGGATGTTAAGAGCATCCGGTGATGCCATGTATATGAAAAGAGCTTAGCCGAGTGTTTGGCACATACTATTTGCCCCATCAATGTCATTTCTCACCACTGTCTTGAAACCAGAGTGTCTCATGGGGCACTGCCATGTTCTACTTTTTTTTTTAAGTTTTTTTTTTTTTAATTGGGGAATTGGGGAATGGGAACAGCGCTGGGAAATTGGGGGAAGGGACACAGACAAGTTGCTGTCCTTTTGTTCTTCAGTCTAGTTATGGAGGACGTTGCTTCACTGGCCCAAGTTGGCACCATCATTGCGCTCTTCCTGGGTGAGGCAGATCAGTCGGCGGCTTCTCCACGGCCGCTCTCGGCCGCTGCTGGCCGCTCACGCTGGTTGCTGGCTACACACGGTAGCGCATGGCAACCCACTGCCACAGGGACTGCAGCCTACGCTGTCGCCAGCGACTCATGGCAGCCCAGCTCCAGGTTGAGCTGTTGTTAGGCATCTTAGCTGTAGAGGGCAGTGTCACTGGCCCTCATATGTGGGATCCGAACCGGGGCCCTCTGGCATCCCAAGCCAGTTCTTAACCATCGCGCCACTCGGCCAGCCCTGTTCTACTTTTTTAAGTGGCCTTTCTTTCCCTCCCGCTTTCTCCCCTCCCCTTCTTTCTTCCTAAAATCAATTTATCAATTTGGAGAATAATTCCCCCCTACCCAACTTTATGGGTGGGCCCACGATGCAGGCTCCAGTTGTCTGAGTGCTTCTACTCGTTCAAGCTTGGCCAATGACCATCCTACTCAAGTATCGTGAGGAAAAAGGTATCCTCTTTCCATGGGGTTTGTAAACTTTATAAGATGTAAGTTTAAGCAGTTAGTGACCATCTCATGAGGAGACTCCATCTGAGAGTGGAACTAACATAGAAGAAAGCTGACCCAGGAGGTAGAGAAAGACAGTTTCCTGATGTCTTTGTGCCTCTGGATAAATCCATTTCTGAAACTAGCATGTCCCTGAATGTTGTACTTATGTGAGCCAATCAATAACCTTTGATATTCTTTAACATTCAAGTTAATGTTAACTTGGATTTTGACTCCATCAATGAAAAGAATCACAATTCAGAGCTAAAATTTATTTTTTCTTTCCCCTTGTTTACGTGGGAGGTTTGGCTGGTGTTTGGCCATCTCTTGCAATAAGAGGCTTTCAAAGTGAAGACGCATGGAGAGGGCAGATGGCCACAATATTTCATGGACCAGAAAGGTCATTGTTTGGAATTTTCAGAAATAGTTCAAGGAGTTTCCTTAATACTTTCAGTAAAGTTAGGACCTGAAAACTGAAGCTCATTTGAGAACTGTCTGAAAGGCATTCAGGATACATGGGTTGAGGCCTTCTGACTTTAACAGGCTTGTGTTCTTGCGCTAATGGGGTACAAAAGAAGCAGCTGTGGTTGGAAAGAAAGGAGGCCAACGTTTCCAGACACCAGGTGCTCAGCCCTTTCCTCACCATGTGTGCTTGTTGTGGGCCAGCCAAGGATGTCATAGGTGCCAATCAAACATGAGTTTCCAAGCAGGTCCCAGGGAAAGTCCTACGAGGAACCAGTCACCATGCCCGTAGCAGTGGGCAGACCAGGATCCCGAATGAATCTGCATATGGCATGAGCACTCTGTTGAAGTCGTGTGCTCTCGTTGATTTTCAGGAAAGTGCACTGTCATAGTCTATTAGTGTGGTCACATTGCATTTTAACTTTGTCGTTTTATTTGTATTTAATTTGTAAGCTTGGCTCTATAAGAGCTTAATCATTTGGTTTTATAAGAGTTTCATCAGAAGCTTACACGTGGTTTTATGCTTGCACTTAAGTGATATTATCATTAAATTTTTCTAAGGCAATATTGGAGAATGTTTTTTTCTTTCAAAAGAATATTATTCCCTGCCTATGAAGTAGCCCTGCAAACAAACAAAAAAATCCAACCTGAATCTGATCAAGTTTTGTATCCAATTGTCAATTTACAGGGAATCAGGGACACAGAGAAGGATGTTAAATGGCTATGGAAGTGCAGCTTGGGAAACTCTATAGCTTCTTTGACAAATAAATTGTAAAAGAAAAGAAGAGGTGGAAGGGGCACCTATAGATTCTATAATGTAAAAACTAGCAACCAACCGTATACGTATTTGGAACTTGCTTGGGTCTTGCTTAAAAATAACAATAAACTGAAAACATAATTTGGGACATTTGTGAGAAAAATGGAGGTGTAAATGGTGTCTGGATATTTGATGATGTTGGGAATGGTGGTGGCAGTGGTTTGCTGTAATAGTGCTACTTGGTGATGTTAAAGAAGGGAGAGTTCTTGCCTTTTGGGGTACACACTGGGATATTTATAGGTAATAAGAAATGTAGTTTATCCTTGGGATAACATTAAAATGATAAAATAAACCTACCTGTACTATAGTAACAAGTTTTAAAATTTGGTTTTATTAGTCTTTCTAGGTTATATTCTTGGGAAAGTTGCAAATGATGAAATATAAGATAAATATAATTTTCCCATAGTCAAGGCTATTAATATCATTCTCTCTTCAAGAGCCTGGTGTCTAAGTTATTATAAAAGTAGGAACACAGTCAAATCTAATCAACTATAAATGATAAACACATATAGTATAAAGCCATCTAAATTTTATATAAATTGTTAACAGCCAAAACAATAGATACACGCGCGCGCGTGCGCACACACACACACAGACACACACACACACACACACACACGCATCTATACACATACACACATTATATTATTCCAGTTCCAGTTTGGGAAACCCTGAGTTATCCCATGCTTGCTTTTGTGGCTAATTATATTGATTAAGGGTCTGAAAACTATGGATCTCATCAAATATGGCCCGTGTCTTGGTGTAGCCTATTAGCTAAGAATGGTTTTTATGTTTTTAAATAGTTAACATATCAAGAGGAGAATAATAGTGACATTTAGGAATTGTATGAAATTCTAATTTCAATGTCCATAAATATAGTTTTGTTTTTTTTTAAAAGATTTTTATTGGGGAATTGGGGGGATGGGAACAGTGCTGGGGAATTGGGGAAAGGGAAACAGACAAGTTGCTGTCGTTTTGTTCTTCAATCTAGTTGTGGAGGATGTTGCTTCACTGGCCCAAGTTGGCACCATCATTGCGCTCTTCTCTGGCGAGGCAGATCAGTCGCTGGCTTCTGGACGGCCGCTCACTGCGGCTGCTGGCCGCTCACGCTGGCTGCTGGCCACACACGGTAGCCCATGGTAACCCACTGCCACAGGGACTGCAGCCCACGCCGTCGCCGGCGACTCATGGCAGCCCAGCTCCAGGTTGAGCTGTTGTTCAGCATCTTAGCTGTGGAGGGCAGTGTCACTGGCCCTCATATGTGGGATCCGAACCGGGGCCCTCTGGCATCCCAAGCGAGTTCTTAACCATCGCGCCACTCGGCCGGCCCCCTAAATATAGTTTTACTGAAATACAGCTTGCCCCTGTATTTACTTTTTTTTTTATTATAAATACAGTTTTCTTGGAGCTTGTCCATCTGTTTACATATGTCTATTATACTTTCAACACCAGGAATGGCAGTGATGAGAAATTGTGACAGAGACTGTATGGCCTGTAAAGCCTGAAATATTTACAGGGAAAATGTACTGACCCATGATCTAGACGAAAACACTGAGGTCCGGAGGTGTGAAGTGTCTGGTTGAAAGTTGGACAGCTTTTAAAGGCAGACCCACAATTCCAGCCGAGGTTTACTAATTCTTCTAACACCTTTGGGTGTGGTTTTCCCTATATTTTTGACCCCTTGAAATAATAATTTCTACTTGTGTAGTGCTTATTATCTTCCCTGCATTGTTATAAAGACTTTAGTTGTATTAAGTCATTTCATCATCAAAACAGCCTGTAAGATAGGTACTATAATTATCCCTCATACCTGGGGCAGTTGAGGCAATGGGTTAGTTCAGGAACTGCTGAATTCCCACACCAGCAAGTGCCAGAGCCTGCTGGTGACCCAGAGAGCCTGTACACTGCTCTATCTCTTTCAGGGAGTGAACCACAGGGCCCAGGAAAGAGACCCAGTTGAGTGGTTTGATGGTTTTAACCCTACTCACTCCCCTCTTGAGCTTGAGGGCAAAAATGGTATACAGTGGATCATTCTGCTATCATAAGCCTGCCATGAACTTGGGTTAAGACAGAGGCCCCCAGTCATCTTTAAAATGGAAGGCTGAGACAGTGTGTGACCAGACGCTCTTGGGGAGGTTTTGTCTTGTTTTGTTTTTCAGCTTCAATCTTTGCTTTTGTTTTTCAGCTTTACTCTTTGCTTTGTGATCCTTCAGTGTATTATCCGGACAAGCAGGTTTGAAAGGAATGACGACATTGATGCAAGGAAGCAGCACAAAGAGCCTTCTCGGGGGACATGGCGAATCTTACCAGGGACTTGACAGGCGTCTGCAGCAAAGGGAGAGGCCACTCAGGAGACCAGACCACAGTAGGTAGCGAGTCCTCACGATGCTTCCCCATGCAGTGCTGTGATCCAATTGGAAGAATCTCATGGTCTGACTTTACACAGCTTTATTGTGGTGTCGAGCATAACAAATTAGCCTTCCATTCATTAGCTCAAGAAAACCTGCTAAGTCTTTGCAGTTGCTCATTTAAGGATTTATTCATTTGTGTTTCTTTCAAACAGACATATCAGTGCTTTATAGAACAGTAGGGTTAATAAGTAACTTTGGGGCTTTCGTGGCACTGACTGAAGAAAATATGACATATTAGAATTTTTTTTTGTGAGGATAGAGTTGGAGGGGTGAATGGAAGAGAGGGAACCGAGAGTAGCAGAGAAATAGAAGTTACATTTCTCCATGAAGACTCTGCCCATGCCACATGGCGCCGTGGGGGAGCTGTGCCTTGGTTGTTCACTGGATGTCAGATTGAGCTAAGGTGACGCAGGAGTTGGTAAACTATGGCCTGAGAGCTGAATCCAGGCTGCTGTCCGTTTTTGTAAATAAAGTTTTATTGGCACACAGCCACACCCGTTTGTTTCCTGTTTTTGTAAATAAAGTTAGAGCGCATCTATTCAAACACATCTTACCTGTGCCTCCTTTTGTGCTACAATGGCAGAGGTGATCAGTTCCGACAGAGACTATAATAGCCCATGAAGTGTAAAACATATATTATCTGACCCTTTACAGAAAAAAAAAATCCTGACTGATGATTATTTTACCATCATGAAATATTTCTTTCTGGGAGATGATAGGCTGCATACATCACATAGCAGTGGAGAGCTAACTTTAAAGTGTTGGTGAAAATGTCTTTTAAACCATTCTCTAAATGCTGTGCATAGACAATCTTGTTTCTTGTTTACATTTACAAAACGCCATGCCCACCCCAGTTCTCCTGAGTCACTGCCATGGCAAAGCCTGGTATTTTTTAAAAGCCTGAATCCAATATGGAGGCCAATTTGGGAGCTAGCCTGGAACATACTAAGTCTTCCCAAAGTGCTTATGGAATTAATGAGATCCCATTAGCGGTGACAACAGTCTGTACCATGAGCTGCTGTGCGTATTCTACACCATAATTCAGAAGCAAGTCTACAGTTCATTCCCTGAAAAGCTCCTTGAATGCTATTAAAAATAACTTTCCACATAACAGTAAAAATACATCTATTGCTGAAACGAAGAAAATTAAAATTATACATATTGCTACTACCCAGAGTCATACTGTCAATCTGTTAATATTTTGATGTATACACACAACCTCGTCTGGATTGAATTAGTGTAATTCTATTGAATTCTCAAAATACCATGTAGTTATTTTGGGTTACAGTTGTGGGAAGGGATTTCAGATTTGTTTTAGATTTGTTACTTTCTTGGAAGTGTTTAGCTAAAGAGCCAAGAAATACATCGTCGCTCCTATGGGAACAGAAGGACTGGTGAATAGTAATTATTATTTGCAAATCTTGAATTTATATGACGAGACTTGGACAGAACACATTGAGACTGTTTAGATGTATTCTTTTTGTTTCTTTCTTGTTTTTGTCAAGTTATCCTTTAATGAATTTTTTTTCTTTGTAGCCCTTTGCCAACTGGGCGTCCACCACACCTGTTGATGTCATCTTTGATATCATGAGGATGCAGCCACTGACATTGCAGCCCATGTGCTGGGGAGTCTGGGATTACTTTAATGATGCTGGAAAAGTCTCTGGATAAGGATCTATGCTGAATCTGTCAGGTGCTTTTGATGATATCATAAAAGGTGATTATTTCCATTTTGTTTAATATGTAACTGCTTCTTTCTATCTCTGGGTGGTTCCCCAAGGGCTTTGGTGAGCAGGGCAGAGGAGGAAGATGCAAGACCCATTTTGGGTCTTTCCATCTGAAGGGTCAGGTTCCCTAGAGTCCAGGCACTTTCAGTCACAGATTACCTTGGCAATGTCAAGGTCACCACCAGCTTTTCTGAAGGCAGACCCAGGAGCCAGTGCAGGTGTGGTATCCACGTCCCCATCAGCACACAGAAGATACACAACTTTCATTCCCTTTGGGTTTTGGTAAAGATGGCTGCTGTCAGATGAACCTAGACATTAAAGAAAATTATACCTTTGTCTCCTCTGAGTCAAAAGCTGAGAGTCGGACTTATTGTTAATGAAACAATTGAATTAGATCTTTCATACAGAGTACATTCTAGTGTAGTGGGAATAGCATGAACTAACAATTAGAAAAACCTGGATCCTATCTGGGTCCTTTGTTCCAAATGATCATTTATCCTTGAGCCTGTTAGAGTCACAGTTTGCCCTTCTGTCCAATAGGCAATAAGGATCATGATTGTTTTACAGGATCATTGGGGAAATGAAGATGAGACTGCATGAGACTCTGCTGATAAATTATAATGTGTTATGTAAGGTGATCATATTAATCATAACATCATAACAATAATCGTAATTCCTGGAAAGATTTGCAGTTAGAAATGTGAATGCTCTAATCATCTGAACCTATGCAGCTGATTGTTGTGTATATCAGAACAAATTAGTCTTTCGTTCATTAGGTCAAGGAACTAATGCTAAGAACTTTAATTTATTTAGTTAACATCATTTTCAGCAGCTTTAAGTTTACAGAAAACCCAAAATGAGTGAAAAGCACAAGTTCCACATGTTCCCTTCCCCTCTCATGGTCCCTGCTATTAACATCTTGCGTTAGTGTGGTGCGTTTGTTACAATTGAGCCAATATTGACACCTTACTATTAACTAAATCCCATAGTTTACGTTAGGATTTACTGTTGGAGTTGTCCACTCTGTGGGTCTGGACAAATGTATAATGACATGTATCATTCAGAAGTTTCCCGTCCTCCACCTAGCCACCCCTCTCCTTCTCCCTGAGCTCCTGGCAACTAATGATCTTTTTACCGCCTCCATCATTTTGCCTTTTCCAGGATGTTACATAGTTGGAATCATACCATATGTAGCCTTTTCAGATTGGCTTCTTTAATTTAATAATATACACTTAAGTTTCCTAAGTCTATTTGTGGCCCCTAAAGCTCATTTTTTACCACTGTTGGGATGTACCACATATTATGTATTCATTCACCTTCTGAAGGACACCTTGGCTGCCTCCAAATTTTGGCAGTTATGAATAAAGCTGCCCTAAGCTTCCAGTGCGGGTCTTTGTGTGGACATGTTTTCAGCTCCCTTGGATGCATACCAAGGAGCACGGTTACTGGATCATATGGTAAAAGTACATTTAGTCATGTACGAAACAGCCGAACTGCCTTCCAAAGTGGCTGTACCATTTTGCACCCTCACCGATATTCGGTATTGTCAGTGATTTGGGTTTTGGCTATTCTGTATAATAGGTGTATAGGGGTATCTCTTTGTGTTTTAATTTGCAATCACCTAATGATGCATGGTGTTTGGCATCTTTTTTCACATGCTTTGTTACCATCTGTATATCTTCTTTTGTGAGATGTCTGTTAGATCTTTTGCCCGTTTTAAAATTGGATTGCATGCTTTCTTCTTGAGTTTTAAGAGTTCTTTTCATATTTTGGATACCAGTCCTTTATCTGATAAGTATCTTGCAGAGATTTTCTCCCAGTCTGTGGCTTGTCTTTGCATTCTCTTAATACTTGTTTATCTGTAAGTATCTAATCTCCCCATCACCATCAGACTATTTTAACGTACTATTGACATTCAGGCTTCTAGCTGTTCAAATGGCTGAATGCTCCTAACACACTCCCTTCCTACTTACCATTGACTCATTTTGCGGTCAGTAGATGGGATCAAGTCATCAAGCCCATCAACGGCTCAACCTCAAACCTCACGTTCTTAACCGGGATCATTGCTACTATCATCCGAGAGTGGGCCGCGGCTGGTCCAAGTTGGCCGGCTTTCATGGAGCTGATTGGAGCGGCCGACATTTTTGCTGACTGGAGTCATGCTATCTTTGCCAGTTTGCTGGAATAGACACAGACACCGATTGGGTCACGCTGAAGACATTCCTGTCTTGTGAAGCAAGTCTGTTTGTATTTTAGGTTTGCCAGGACTAATGAATTAAAACATTTGGACTCCCCACAACTTGCTGTTTATCAATGCCTCTGACAGGGAGGAGGGTTTTCTTTTGCTCTTGCTTTTTCTAGAAGCATGACAACATCCTGGCTGTCGGAGAGGCAAGGAGAGAAGAGAGGGGTTGTAGCGGGCAGCGGAACAGGGAGGCCCCGTGGGACGCCGGGTCTGGGGGAGAGACAGCAGGTAGCAGCGAGCCACCCTGGCAGCTGTCAGAGCGCCTCAGCTTGTCAGTGGCTGCTATGCAGCAGGTGCAGCCTGCTCTCTTACTAAGTCTCCACTCCACAAAGGCAGCGACTGGCCAAGGCAGCGGCTGGCCCTGGATTACACAAGTGCAGACACTCAACTAAGTGAGGTAAGGCAACAGGTGTGAAAACCCGACTAAAGGCTCGGAGCCCCAGCAACCTAACCAAAGCTCTGTTACAGCCCAGAGGAGGAATCAGTGGCCCATTCCCCCAGGCGGTGTGATGAAAAGGCAAGTTGGTTTAGGGGCTCCCGTGGTGGACACCGTGTGGAACTGTGGAACGCAAAGTCCACCCAGCTTCGCCTGTGGCATCCTTTTGGAGGCAGACAGATGCTCTAAGCTGTGCGGAGGGGAGGGGCCCCATTGAGCTGTTTGTCAATTCTCATTCCCAGTCTCTGGAAACCGTACCAGAGATCTATTGACAAAACCCTGAAGGCAAATTTCCACCTCTTGTGCTTTTATTTCTCGGTTCAGGAAAGTGGTGGATGATTTAGCCAAAAGTGGAGCGCAGCTTTTCACCCTCAGATGTTATAATAAAATGGCTTGGTGGTTGTATAGTGCATAACAATAAGACCTTTTCTTTTAGCTCCTACTTTCAGGGGACTTTTATTGTTTGTTTTGTTAAATTGGAGACAGTCTGTGCTATTCTTCCCCCGGAACAGGTGGCTAACAAGACGCTTGATTTTAAGCAGATGAAACTACCCAGAAATGTATCTCAGGGCTGGGGCTGAGATAAAACAAATCCTGAGTCAAGTAACAGTGATTTTATATTACTTTCTTTTTTTTTTTTTTAAGTTTGAATGTTTCATTTTACTATTCTTTTCTGACTTAGAATGACATGACTTGAAGTGCTTTAGGGTTCATTACTATTTGTAGTGTTAAATGAATGGACCAAAAATGATTCTAACTGGGTGGTAAACACTTGCTGTTGTTTTCCCCCAAAGCTATACTATGTATTTAACATAAGCCTATTTTCTTTCCATATATTAGGTAAGATGGTTTTATATGTATGTATTTCTAAATATATATGCATTCTCTTTGGCTCTATAAATAATTGTAAAAACAAAATTCAGTGTTCTAGGCACTATTTTTAGATAGAGAAAAGTTATGGGAAAGACTCAGAAACCTTGCTGTGAGAAAATGTCCTGCTGAAGCAGTTCCCAGAATCTCGCTAAGGATGGCTAAAGAGATGATTTATATTTTGCCATTTTTAGAGACATTTTCCTTTAAATATCATTCAGAGTTTTTGGTGTACTATCTACATGAGAAGGAAAGTAGAAGGTTTAGGGGAAACATGTCTAAAAATAGAAAAGTTTACATGTATTTAAATAACAAAGATATGTATTTATAACAATATCTATTCCTAGTTGCAGTGAATGAAAAATTATTATGTATCTTGGTTAAAATATATTTGGGTTAAATTCTCTTGTTATAACAAAGAAATAGTCATGTGCTTTTGCCCACCCCCAACCCATCTTACCTGTAGGACATGTTTCCATTCATTCTACCTTAGTTTGTTCATTAAATGATCATTTAATAGGTGAGGTCAAACATCAATAGAATGTTTTCAAGTTTTGTCTTTTGCTTGTATCGTGCATTGTTAAGATGAACAAACTTAAAAATGTCGATAGGTTTACAGGTAATCATCTATTTAAAAGATATAATATTCATAATATAACTGTGGGATATTTTAAAATAGTCTTTGATATTCTTCAAATGATTCCACGATACTCATTCTTTACCACTCCCAGGTCAATAATTCACATCCAATTTAGACCTTTCAGTGTGATGCCCTATTAAGATTTCTTTATCCCCCTCAATTAAAAATGAAAATATAAGACCTTGAAGGGTCAAGGTTGGACTGGTCAATGTGAAGAGATACTACAAAAGTGAGGTGGGTGGGGCTTTTGCTCCATCTTGTATACTTCATTCTACATGTATATTTTCAAAGCAATTTTTTTTTTGTAAGCCAGGAAAAGGGTTTTAAATGGGGCCAATGAATACTTTGAATGTAGGAAACAAAAGCTCGGAACTAGGAGTATCTTTAAAATAAGAAAACAATGCTTGATGTCTTTCCCCTAGTTTCCAAGGGCCTCTGAGCATTTGAGGGGTGGCATTGGGTAAAGTGACCATGGCTCTCTCTGTCCTCACAGCTGGAAGACCCAGGGGAAGGCCGCGGCTCAGGCGCCCACATGGTCAGCACAGCCAGGGTGCCTGCGGATAAGCCAGTGCGCATTGCCTTCAGCCTTGATAATGCCTCAGGTATGCTCTGCTCAGCGAGGAAGGGCTGCCTCCTGCCTGCCGCCTTTTTACCGCCGCCTTTTCTGCTTACAGCAGGCCTTTCAGCATGCATGCCTGGCGTGACCTCATGACGGAGAGTGTGGCTTTCATCACGACGTGTTTGAGGGTGGCTTCCAGAAACGCCTCTGGTGATGCTTCCCCCATTTCCCATGTTTTGGTTGTTTTAGCACATTTCTTCTTCTTTTTTTTTTTTTTAATCTTTCCCCATGTTAGCTTTCTTTTATGATAAAATTCACAGGGCTACAATAATTTCTAACGATAGCAAAGTATGTCACTGTTAAAACTTCATTAGGAAATGTTTATGAAGAGCTGACAGTTGGCTGGGGGGATATAAAAATATCACTGTCCCGGTTCCAGCAGCATTTCCTGAAGCCTAAGTTCCTAACTCTGGTTTCTCGCTGGTGCTCCCACTCTTCCGACTAAATAAACAGACTTCAGCCAGAGTGATGAATGGGACAGGTGAGGCGGACCTTCTCGAAATAGTAAGGTCTGAGGTGAGGCTGCCATACTTAGAGCCTTTCGTCATGACTCCCCTCAGTGACCTCTTAACACACATATTGAATTGCACTCCCTCTGACAGGGGCCCCCAGGTGGTGTGGGGTCACAGGGGCGACAAAAGGAAGGCTTGGATCTCTTCTGCTGGTGTCAGCCATTGCCCTCAGTCTAATGTCATCTGTTAATATCATATCACATAATCACATGCTCAAACAACATGACCATTTAAACTTTGGGTCTTTTGAAGACTGATTCTATCTATCTATCTATCTATCTATCTATCTATCTATCTATCTATCTATCTATCTTCCTTCTACAGTTCCCATGTAGAGGTATTGCTTTAAAAAGTAATGATTGAAAAGGGACAGGTTCATCCCCAGATAATGCAAAGTAAGGATCCTGGCTATGTGCAGTCTGACATTATACAGGCAATTCCGGCTTTACTATACCAATCATTACGATGGTGACACATCTACCCCTGGGTTCTGGGACTGTGCAGCCCCCAGTGGAGGATTGGTTCTAGAGCAGGAAGAGGTGAAGCCTCTACTGTTCATCATCTGTTTTTCCCACACTCTCCCCATGCCCTGCTCTTGTCCTATGTCCCCACCCATTCCCACACTGATGTCTCTATATGTGTCCCCTTGAAAGACAACAATGAAGGGAATTCCTCCCAGTAGGCAAACCAACCCATCCCAACACAGAAATGACAACTAGCATTAGTTGTGTTTGTCTTCTGTGTTAGGCATTCACTTATATTATTTCTAATCTTTAAAACAGTTATGCAATGTAGGCATTAGTATTCCCAATTTGCAGAGACCATCCTATTAGTGAGTAATGGAGTTATGATTTAAACTCAGGTGCCTAGACTTGAAAGTTTGAACTCTCTGCATCATTCCATGCTGCTTCTCTAAGAAGAAAAAAGAAAACTGTGAGTGTAGGGAGACAGTGTATATGGGAACTCTGTATTTTCTGCTCAATTTATCAGTTAACCTAACATTGCTCTAAAAAACAGTCTATAGATTAAAAGCAAATAAACAGAAAGGAAAAGCCCCTTTGTTTTTATGCATTTTGTGAATGCAAGATGTTGAGGAATAACGCTTGAGTGGCTAGCTCTCAAGATGGACCCATGTAAACCCAAATCCAGGGAGAAAGAAGATGTATACTTTTCTTCCTTGTGTTCAGGTCCCATGTAAGCAGAACAAGTCCTGTTATAAGCAACAGTGTTACAAGGAAAATTTAAGTATATCAGTCTTGTTTATTCTAAGTAATAAATATTAGATTAGCTTTTAGGAAAAGACAAATAAATGTACTGTTCCCTCGTCTTCATTTTAATAGAATTTATGTACAGAAGAGAGCCATGGAAAGGTGAATCTTGATCTTGTGGTTGCATGAATAGACTCTTCCTTGAATAACAAGATGTACAGGTTATAATTAATTTGCCACCATCCTTTGACCTCCCTGGGCCTCTGACTGGGAGCTCTGGCATGTTTTTTTTCATCTTTTTTTTACTTCAAATTGATTTGTTCTGGTGTCTTTCAAATGTCCCAAGAATCCCCACTTTTGAATTTTCTTTTGACATGACAGCTTCAGATAGCGGTGGTCATTTATTTCAAGTAATTCCTACCCAGTAGCTCCACAAAAAGATGCACAGGGAGCCTTATCAAGAACCTACCAAAGTTAATTTTTTTCTTACGATCAATGTGTCCCCATATCTCTAGAAAGAGCACCTAACTAGAGAATGCAAGGCAGGCAGTGGGGTTCTGTGATTCTTTACCTTTCTTAAAATAATAACCTGAGAGCACTCATCAAAAAATACATGTGCCACGGCCATACTCCTGTATATTTAGATGCAGTAGGCCCAGAAATCTGGTTTTCTGTTTTTTGCATGCACAGGAGGTTGCAAGTGCAGAGAAAGATGCTTGGCACATATTTGGGGACACTCCCTCTGAATTCTTGAATAAGGAGCATTTGGAGTGTCACACTGAGCAACACTTGCCATCATGCACACTGTGCATGCCTTTTAAATTCCAGTGCAGGGGTGAGCACACAATGTGATACATAGATGATGTATTACAGAATTGTATGTACTTATACTTATGTACTTATGAACTTATACTATCCATTCTCACCCCAATAAATGTTAATTAAAAAAAAGGTAACTATGTTTCTCGTGATCTTAAAAATAAAGATACAAATTCATAAAAATAAATAAAGTAAATTCCAGTGCATGTGGCATATGGACCACACATTTAGGAAGCAAAGAAAGGAAAGCATCCTAGACTTTCATAGTAAACGGGACGACTGAGGTGGACTTTTAGGGAGTAATTCCGTATTGTTGAATTTATGGTTGAAACATAAGAAGAGTCCATGAGAAAAGAAGGCATCTGTGCCTGTGAATGTTGACCTGTTCATTTCTTATGGGCCCAATATAGTGTTCATTCCTCTATTCATGTTAGGACTGTTTTCTTTTTTTGCATATTCCTCTGAAATGATTTGGTATAGAGGTTAAGGACCTCGGGCTTGGGAGTCAGAAAGACATGATTTCTAGACCCATTTCCATCGCTATTTGTATGACCTTGGGTTAGCATTCAACTTAGCTGAACTTCAGTTTCCCACAAGCTGTGTATGGTCATTTACAGAGTTGTTGTAAGAATCAGATTACACTATGCAGGCGATTTAGCATCGTGCTTGACACAAATTAAGTACTCAATTGGTCCCTGTATGATAATCGATTTTGGAGTATTACAGAAAATATGACCCTCTAAGCAGCTTTGTGTCCTGCCTACATCTCACACTTCTACGTTGTGTCAGGGTAGGGTTTATAGTACAAGTGACCTGCAATAATGCAGGGACTAGTTATCCAGCTTGTGGATTGTGTGACCCAGAGCAGGTGGGAACAGCTTCTTGGAAGACACGACAGTCAACCTAGGCTTGCAGGCCAGGAGGGTGTTGACAGGCAGTGGAGGAAAGATGCCATTTTTGGGTACCAGGTACATAAAGAGGGCGGCTATACATCTTTTAACAATTCTCCCTTTTCTCTCTAAACACAAGGCATGAACAAAACCTAACAGCCAGAGAGAGCATGATGTGTTTCAGAAATACTAAAACTCTTGACCACTGGAGCAGAGGGCTGAGGTGTGGAAAAGGAGCATGCCATGCACTGAGCCCTGCTTTCAGCCAGACATTGATGCTGTCGCCTCATGTAGAATATGGATCTGCTTGGAGAGCAGTAGACTAGAGTTACCAAGCCAATCTTACAAGCCCAACAAACGCGTTTGGATTTGATCAGAAGCTATAGCGTCAAAAGTTCATGAGCAAGGGAGTAATGTGGTGACAATGGTAAATGTCCGATTGGTGGAATAGTCTGAAATGTGGAGAGGAGAAAAAGGGCGAGGCTTTTTATAAAGGTACAGAGACAAAGTGAAGAGAGCCTGGATTAAAGAGTGGAATGGCATGGCTGAATTCAGAGTACGTTTTGAAGGAAGGGTTGAAAGGGCTTGGTGACAGACTGGCCCTGGTACATGCGGAATTGGTCATTGTTCCTTGATAGCAGAGTAAGTCGCAAGACTCCAAACAGACCATAGATCTCCAGGGGCTTAAATAAAGGAAGCAAGTTTTAGGGGGTGGAAATGCCCTTTAAAAATACCATCACCATTTCTAGGCTACCATCCAAATCCTTGAAAAAGTAGCACATAGCTAACCATAATTCCCGGAAGCAGCAATACCTGTTTTTAATAAACTAGTGATATGATTGGCGTTACTTCCAAACGGGGAATTCTAAAGAGTTAACTTTCTAAATTGGGACCTTCATGGAGTTAGTTTTCCCAATAGAAAATGTGCAGAAGAAACGTAAGAATCCCACCTCTTGGGTTATTCTAGACTCACTGGCCCTTCTTTAATTAGAGAGAATTTAGAGTTGGACTGAGATGAGGATTTCATGTTAATTACTTGAGAATTTTCTTTATGTTTCACAGAGCTAAAATCTGGCATACTCATATAAAGTTAGACATTGCCCTTGGTTTTTGTTTTTCTTCTTTTAAGTTTTTATTTAGAAAGAGTCAAGGATACTGGTATCAGCACAAGCTGGTAGGTTTCAACATTTTGTTTTAAAAAAATTCTTTCAAGCTATGAGAATTTTTCATAGTTAGGCATGAATTACTCATATGACATTTGGTTAAAATAAACTCCAAGATCCATTCTGTTGGTGTCTCTTTTAAGTAATACTGTTTTCTCCTCACATATCAGGGTAGTTTTGTGGGAACTAAGTGCAGTAGCTGAAGTAGCTCCCCTTCACTCTAGCTTAACTGGGTATTGTGTGAATGTCTTTTTGTGTGTATGCTTACAGAACTGGCTCTCAGCAAAATTGCGATGCAGGTGAATTGTCTCGTGTCGTTGTCCCCTTCCTTTAATTTTTCCTACCTCTGGTGCATTTTGGTATTATTTCCCTCTCCCTCTTCAGAGCCTCA